CTTTCAGCACAATATTGCACAATTTGCAAAGGCAGCATGTTTGACTCTAGTGATCTTCATATTCCTCTTCTACTGGTTTGGCTTCCAGATAGACGAGTCCAAGTAGCGCCATCTCACTGCGGAGCTGAGTCCGACGGGGTTTTTAGACGTACGGTGTGAGCAGGTAGATCGCATCAGGGCGTCGGGCTGCACAGTGTGAGAACATACATCATGAGCTGTGAACTCACACTCTGTATACACAGTATTAACTGTGCGATTGTTGTTTGAAAAAATCGCACAGTGTCTGCCCAACTTAAAGGGGGCGCTCACATTTTCAAGATTCCTCTCACCTCCAAGACTTAAGCTAGTTTTTGCAAATCAATTAAACTGGAGAAATCAAAACCGTAAAAAAGAATATAAAAAAATAGCAATGATTTAGTCATACTTTTCCAAAATGTTTTTTTTACTTGCTGGTGGAGCAACTAAAACATTACAACCATCTTAACTTACCCTCTGGACCAAGGCTGTTTCATTTATGAGCTAGGAGACCAACAGAGTATCCAAAATAGTTTTTGCTATTTTGCTGATTATTTTGTTTATGACCAAAGGTCTTGGTCTCATCTCGGTACTTCTTTGTCTTGGTTCGTTTGGTCATAAAACATTACCATTCTGAGCATATTCGGAGTATATATATGTGTTCATTTTCCATTAAAAGCAATATGCATCTGTCCTTATATTGTCTACTTATTCCTTTTTTAGACTTAAAGAATTTTTTGCACCAGGCCCAATCAGAAGACCTGGACATTGTTTTGCACCATCTGCTGGCCATCAATGGCACATGTACAATATCACACCTCTGATCATATTTTGTTTTTTGTGGTAAATATACAAAACTGCATTTTGCTTACCAGCAAATAGATCAGGGGCAACAAAGAGGAAGATTTTTGTATGCAACCAGAGTGAGCTACCGGATTAGTAATGCATTTAGGGGTTTTATTGTCTGCACCATGACTGTGTCGGTCATAACTACTCTGTTTTATAAATACTTTTTTATTGTATTTAAATGACTTTCAGATTTTAGGCAATAAACTTTTAAATGGGCTAATTAGCTGGTAAACATATATATCTGTATATGAAAATAAATAAATTAATCCATCAATGTTTGTATGAAATAAATGAAAAAGGCTTTTCTGATATTTTAATTCGTTCCAAGACTTTTATTGTAACACAAACTGCTAGAAACACTGAATTCAATTGAATAGCCAATCACCGTAGTTAGTGTATTCTTTTTATTTTTGTTTAGATTTATAAAGCAAAAAAAGCTGGCATATTCAACAAACTGTTTTATTCATTTTAGTTGCTTCTTTGCATTTATTCTGCATTTCCAGAACTATGTGAAAACATTAAAGTCAAGCAGTGGAAGAGGGAGTTATTCCTGAGCCAAGCTAATTCTCCATCACTAGCCTGTCCAGCATTCGTTGCAGTATGCCCCGGATGCCAGGAGGCCTAAATGAGAGGAAAAAGTGACTAGAAGAGCTTGTGATTTCCAGTAGGATCTAATTAAAGCACTCCAACTTGGTCCAAAGCTGCAAAGACATGAATGTGCTTCGGTGAAAGCTTGACGCGCTCTCACTCACACGTCAAACAAGTTTCCCCTCATCGTAGAACTTTTCTTCTTGGATAGCATTCGGTGGAAATGCAAATCCTAAGGCCATGCCTTGATTTGATGGAACAGTTAATTTTCTTGGCTCAACCTCCTCAACCCCATCCTCCCAGCTGACCCAGCATCCTTCCTTACATTCAGTACCATGAGAATACTATTCACTCTGCTGCTTCTCATTGCCATGCTGGCATTCAGATGGTAAACTGTTGGTTATTTTCTTTTCTTTTAATGTCCTCTTTCAAATATATCCTTAGCTACCCCTTCTCATTGGCACAGCTTAAATCTGCTTAATAGAAACTTAATTTAAATGTGATTTTTTTATATATTTTTCCCCTGGATAACACGGCGGATTACTTACAGCTGCAAGGCCAGTACCAGCATGTACAAGTACTGGTGTCTTTAATCAACTCTATGCACATGTTTAAATTTAGCTGCATGTAACAGTGGGCTAATAGTTCATTATTTTTTACATTTGCATACCAAAGAAGGGGCTCTGCTGCATTATCTCCCATCTGATGTTAGCGTGAACATCTGGGATGAAACTTCAAAGTTTAAATAAAGTTAGGCCCCCGTCCACACGAACCCAAACCCTGGCCTAAACGCACAAATTTTTCACCAATCCAGCCTCTCATCCACACGAAGCCGGCGTTTCGGGGGTCTGTAAACGATCTTTTTTTTATTAAGCCTTCAGAGTGGGAAGATTTTGAAACACCGTTTTCGCGTTTCCATCTTTAAGCTCTAGCCGCATTTTTTTTTTACACGCATGCGTCATAGCGTCGCCTCTAAACACGCATGCGCGACACAATATCACAACAACAATGGCGCCGTACTGTGTTAAATGGTTGCTGCTCATGCTACTCACCCTGCTGTCGGGCTTACAACAGAATCTTCTTCTTCTGGAATATCTCCAGGAAGAACAGAGCAATATCGACGACATAGTTCAGCACCTGAATTTGACTGAACAACGAAAATGGACCCGCAGGGCAACCATGTATAAATATTAGTGCGCATGCCCAACATTTTGTCGCCTCTTTTTGCTTTGGCACCACAGCGCCACTTACAGGCCTGGCATACATTTTGCAGCGTTTTCATGCATTCGTGTAGACGCTCACATTTATTTTACATCTCCGTCTTTACGACAAACGTTCTTGAAAATATTAGCGTTTCGTGTTCGTTTTGACTTCGTGTGGACGGGGCCTAAATGGAGACTGCCACTCTTCATCAGTCACAGCAACTGTTGGTAAACATGCAGACTAAACACACTAGTCGGTTATTTTGCTAAACGGCCAAACTGCTTCATATTTACTGTGTAAACTTACCCTAAACTTACTACAACCTAAAACTAGGTTAAAGCTATTTTCCATAATCTCTTAACCTTAATCCACTCAGAAAACAATGAAGACAACCTGAAAAAGGTTTCAGGGCGTGCACATAAACAGCGACAAAACAGGCCTTAAGATGTGCCTGAGGGAGGACACTTGCCATCAACGGTGCACAGATTACAGGAGTTTCTTTTCCATATTTGGTATGAGAGGTACTGATTGGAGGGAAGTTGTTGAAGCCATACGCCGAAGGTGAGAAACGAGGCCGGGCCTCCACGGCTATTATCCTTTAGTGCAGCAAAGCTTGTAATGTGACAAAATGTGAAAACACCCTCACATGGAAGTCTTTGTTTTGATGGATGGCCCTGGAGCAGCCAGCAGTTATAAAACTCTTTGACAATCTATTGTAACAGGTACAGGTGTGACTCCAAAACGCTAAAAACCTTCTGAGAGGAATTAGATTTTATATATATATATATATATATATATATATATATATATATATATATATATATATATATATATATATATATATATATATATATATATATATATATATATATATATATATATATATATATATATATATATATATATAATGAAAACAAATTGTGTATTTCTATTCAGCTATCAGACAGAATACCTTGTAAAATCAAAAGGGCTTCTCTGGTTGACTGCAACGAATGGCATGTTGGGTCCCATAAACCACTTTAAGCAGACTGCAAAATGGCAGTTTAAGCAAATTTGTGTTAAGTTACTTTGGCCGCTCAGTCATGAGTTAAGCCTGCTTAACAGACTAATTGCTTAGAGCAGAGCGATGACTATAGACGCTGGCTTGACTTCTTTATTGGTGAAAAAGAGCCATCAACAGGTTTGAATACGTACTGCACCAGAAGAGCAGCAGCTGGGCCTTTTTATGGTCAGAAATAGAAAAGTTAATATGCCTTATGTTTTCTTTTTTTTTTTTTACTCAAAACTCTTCAGACTTCTCTGATTCTTAGAGAAAGTTCTGGATGTTCTCCTGAGCATTGCAACTGATAAATACCCACCATACTCCTCTGTTTTATTTTTTTTTATTATTTTTTTTACAGTGTCCTGTCTGGCAATGTGGCAATAAGAATAATTGTCTTGATGCCAAAAAGAGCCCAACAGATTTTACTTTCACAAGTGGAGCAGTATGGCAATTGCCATATTGCTTCACTTGTTTCATGCATATAAATTGCTTTATTATAATTATGTTTATATGGACACTGCAATGTAAATAGAGCAGGAAAACAGAAGAAGAAAAGGAAAAAAGAAAAAAAAGAGAAAAGATGAAAGAAAGAAGAGATAGAACGGAGATAATGACAAAACATTTTCAGTCTGCTTCATCACCTGTAACAAGATGAAAAAAGAACAGCACAACCAAAAGACACGGTACGAGACATACAATAAAGCAACACCTTGAAACTATCGCTAAAGTAATATTAAGTCTGACATGTACTCTGTGTTACCTGAAGATATTTATTTATGATGAAAATAAAGTAAGCCACTTGGGCAGTGGTGTTTTGATGTCAAATATGGCTCCCTGCTCTGACCAAAAGAGAGATGTTTATTGGTGATTGACAAAGCTCTGAGCTAAAAAGCAAAAAAAAAAAAGGCTATTTAAAAGTTATTTGAAATAATCTGCAGTTGGAGTTTGTCTACAGAAAACATGCATTTTAGGTTAACCTGTCCCTCTAAATTTTGTGTGGGTACATTTTGGCTTTATCTATTTTTAACCTCAAAAGTTAGACTTTTTTTAACTGCAACATGATTTAAGTAATGTGTGGTTAATATTATATTTAAAAAAAAAATACAATTTTCATCATAAAAAGAGATTCTATATAAAACAAAAAAACCAACAATAACAATACAAAACTATTATGAATACTGGACACGGTTTGAAAATGATGATCAGCAGGAATTTGTTGTAATCATTTGATCAAACTTCATAAATATGACATTGTCCACATTTTCATGAATGTTACCCCAAAAAAAAACACGCAGACAAAAACGCATGGAGGACATTTTTAATCTATTAGGGTTCAACAGCGATGATTTATCAAGAAATAATATAAAAAGTGTTACACATTTCACAGTTCTCACACCCACACACATTAAAAAAAACAATACATTTTTCACTTTTATCCTCAAAGACCTATTATACAGTACAGAGATTTCTAAAATCAATGTGAGGGTCAGTCAGGTCAATCTAGAGTTTGGTGGAGCTGTTTTAGACATGCACATTAAAAGAAATGATAATAACATAGATCCAGATTGCTGTCAACAATTACTTCATGCAAATGCTCACATGGTGTCTCTGTATGACTCACATATACTGCTTCACAGACATATATTGCAGTGAGTGCATTTAGGTTAGAAAGTTGTTAAGACATTTACTGCAAATGAATTAAACAGAGATGTTCACTAAAAGGTAATAATAGCATCGATAGTATTGCTTTTAGCCTAATGAAAAATGTATACAAGGGTGAAAAGTGCAACACATTAACCAGCCACTGGGTGGCAGCAATGCACCTCAAATGTATAGTTGCTTTGTACTCTTCTCAGCTACTATAAGGGCAGACATTACCATTAATATTTAAACATCCATACCAGAGATGATTCTATGACTAAGAACTTTTGAACCATTACTAAGTTTTTTTTAGTTATCTAGATTCTGCTCTAATGTTTTTAGTCTCTAACAGGTTTCAGTATTATATGTTGGTTCCCAGTCCTTTTTTTACAGGAACAGATGTAGTGAGGAGTCATTTATCTAACATGCTTTGTACTTGAGTAGTTCCAAACCTACTTTAATAGGATTTTAAGTGATGGAAACACGTGGTTTTTACAGGTGAATATCTAAAAAAGAGGGAAGTTGAGGTAAAATGAAACAATGATCTTAAGCCTTCAGAGAACACCTGGATTTCTACTAATATATGGTTTCACACGGACAACCTCCAATGTTTTTGTGTCGGTGTAAAATGGGTTAAACACACACAGCTACCACACATTTAAAGGTGTATTTTTCTTAAAGAAGCTTCAAAAAATTAGTGCAATCATTGATTTCTTTGCAGTTGGCACAAATGTAGCTACCTTCTGTTTGGTTTTACTTTATAAACACTAAATAAAATGCAAAAAAAAGCAGAATTAGCAGAAAATGTGAATTCTTTAGCAAGGCACTGGCCATTCCTTTTTGTGAGTTTTTTTTCTCGTTTTTTTAGAATAGCCTTTGCTATTATCTAATGAAAAAAATTGAATTTGTAATTTAGCCACATAAACAGAGAATGCAGAGATAAAAAAACATGATTTTAAATAAATATGAAAAAACAAATTATAATGAGGCTTTTTTTATTATTGTGACTTAGTTTTTAGAACATGGTTAGTAGAAGAAATTGGTATGCTTCCACTTTATTAACTAGAAAACACAAACACACATATATGTTCATAATACACAGAAAAGACAGTGGAAAAGCAGCCATGCAAAGCCATGACCTGCTTACATATAGTTATTGGTTCAACATGTGGCCCAAGGACACTTCAACATGCTTTAGGGAGAAAACTGCAGATCCATACTGATAACTGACAACCTGCCCGTCATTCTATTCCCACATGCAGCAGTAAGGTTTACGTTATGACTATTGATTAAACTCTTAGTAAAGGGACTTAAAGTCTTTCCATGCATTTTTTTTTATTTACTTCAAATAACCATGTGTAGTATTTTCCATGGTGAAAGTCTGCTTCTTGCAGATGGATACATTCTTAAAGGTCTTTGCAGAATTTAATGGCAGCCTGAGGATAAAAATGCAGCCAAATAAACATTCACCAAAGTGTGTTTGTGTGCATCCTTGGATGTCTGCTTTATTGCTTCCTTGCTATGGAGCAACCACCCTGTTTCACAGGGACATTTTTTTCTGTTGCACAACATACTAATGTTTACATTAAGTGTGCTAGTTTGGTGCAATGTAAAACAAAAGACAAACATACATTGTTAACAGTAAACTGGAGGCTACATGTCAATTTTCCACTTTAAAATCCACTTTATAATGCAAGAAAACCATTTCATACGCATCACCTTAGAACTAATGCCAGAACCGCATACTTTTATCTTTTTTCACAATTGCTTTTGTGTATTAATATAGACAAGGAGTGATTAGAAATATTTTAATCTTTTGTAGGATTTAATCATATTTTGAAAAGTTTTCCAAAAAATTCCTTTTACCTGTGATTTCATACGTTTTTGGTTCTGATCCCCATTTAGGTTACTAAGACATGAGTCAGCAGTTTCTTACACGTCAACATTATTTATAGTATTTCTTATTCAACGAGATATTCAGCTTTTACTTTTTAACCAACGGGATGTTTTTTAATGTGGTAACAGACGACCTCAGAAAAAATCAACATATGACCTGTAAGACAGGAATGGAACAATTTGGTGACTCATGAGCTTTACTTTTTTATTGGTCAACTGACCCAAATAGGGATAAATAAATCAGGAAATTCAGAAATTTTCCTTATAAATAGAGTAAGATCCTAATCCTCTATTTCCTTGCAGCATTTAGGTACATTCCTGAATCACAGCTGAATCTAATGATTGGTTATTTCCTCTGCATGCCATCCAGTCTGGAAAAGTCCTGCTAATGAGCCAATTGTTTTATTCAGAGTTGTTGGAGCACGGATGCATCCATAAACTTTTGGACAGTATATTTCAAGGATTGGACGTATGGAGACCCCTGCAATAACTTTATAAAATTATACCAATACAAAACTGAAGCTCTGAACCAAATGCAACCCGATGTGATACCAGAACTGCTTGTATCACTTCTGGTACCAGACAATCTCTTACCATCTGATGTTAAGTCAGACTAAACATTCTTGCTTCAACTTTTTTGAAATTGTTCTCATTGGATAAATACAGAACAACTTAATAGAAACATCGTCTCTAGTCAAATACATTATTTTAAGGAAAAAGGAGAGATGGAAAGTTTGAGAACAAAATCACAACTAAAGTCAAGAAGTAATCCAGGAAGTTTAACGATGGGGACAAACAGATTTGTTTGGTTACTGAACATCAGATTAGCTATAAAGAAGGTTAACAATGTTTATGTTTTGGATTGACCATTTAAAAATATCTATAAAAAAAAGCCTTAATCTAAATTTAATACCAGACAATTAAAAGAAAAACTGTATCTATTTATAAAGCATATCTAAATATCTGGATTTATCTGTATCTATTGGAATCATTAGCACTACAAGGGGGCAAATGAGAGGTTCTAAAATGCTACGGATATCCTGATAGTCTGTAGACCAATGGATTTAAGGAGTTAAAATTTTTTTTTTTTTTTTAAAGAAACACGTGTTTTGCTAAGAATTGTAAATAAATAATTAGTAAATCAGTAACTTAGTAACCCTACTGAGTAGAATATGCATCTGCATGTATGTGAAGACTGCTCAGTTGGAGGCATGTAGAGGCCCTGCTCTTTGGTGTACTAAAAAGAAAGAATACATTTTCTAATTGTGCATACCTATAATAAACTACTTATTATAGTACGATAGTGACAAAATAGAACAAACATCCTTCAGTATTGATGACTACATCTATGGATATCATATTGCATATTTACTCCAAAGATTGTCTTTAATATTACACATTTGAATGTTCCTTTAAATTTTAAGAAATGCCAGCACTACATTATGAGATAATACTCCATGAGTGCATTACTTAAATTTAAAATGTCTATGGAGCAAAGCAGTTGCTGCTTCATAGATTGATGCATACTTGAAAAGCAGAAATACTGTTTTGGTTTTTTATTATTCTTTTCTTGGAATAATAAGACTGATCTCTGCATAAGTGCTTTTTTAAATACAAAATCCAAACTATAACAAGGAGATTTAATGTGTCATCCAGATCATTCAAGAACCTAGCCTTGGTAGGGAGCCCCGGTGAAATGGGTGGATGTAATGAGAACAGAACTGATGGTCTGGAATTAGAAGCCCTACTTAGATCTTTATTTTCTAGCTTCCTATAAGCTCACTAACCCATTCTTTAGAGCTGTCTCTCTGTGTCCCATGTAATAAAGGGTGAGAATTGCATATGAAAAAGTATCAGTGACAGGTCTAGGTCCCCTGCACCATGGCTCAATCAACTTTAAGGTAGCCATTTGTACTAAAGCCACTTCCCCTCCTTTGTTCTCTTTGCCTGTTGCCCTCCAAGGATTCTCCGACATCTCGTCCACCTCCGGAGTCATGCCGAGGGGTCGACCAGCCGTCCTCAGGCCCTTCATGAAAGCGTAGCCGCAGGGTTTTGCAGATGACAAAACGCTCCACCATGAAGGAGGCGCAGAGCCACGGCACGGCATACTCTGCCGTAATCAACCCCATGAAGTTGTAGTGGAAATCGGAGTAGTCCCAGGGGCAGGCGTTAAACTGCCGCAGAAGCAGCCCAGTCCCAAACTCCCACAGGTAGGTCCATAATGTGTAAATGAAGCAGCGCAGCAGTACAGGGCAGCGGTTGCGCAACTTCAAGTACATCCACTCTACAATGAGGATACAGGTGCCGTAGATGAAGAAGGCCCAAACGCTGGTCACGCCGGGGAACTTCCAGTTGCAGTTTACTACAAACTCCCAGGCAGCCGTGAACATCACTTCACAGAAATAGCCATGGATGGCGTAGAGGTACCAGCGTGAGAGGGCCGTGAGAGGGGCTGGCTCCCTCGGCGTTTCTAAGGCTACCATCGTTTCTCTTGTGGGTTTCATTCAGATTTCTTAATTCTATGCACTGGACCTGAAATCACAGAGTTCAGAAATTATCATTTGAAAATCTTGCTTCACTTTATTCAACTCCTGCAAACCTAAGAACAGACACAGAAAGGACATTTGTATTTGTTTTTTGCTGTAACTTTGCTTCATGGCAATGCTTCTAATATTGTTACAGTAGGTCTGGTTACAGAATTTATCTATCACTTTATTGCTTTCTTAGTCTCAAAGACGGCTGGTTTTTATACGAATTTCAGCAAATAATGTGTGAATTATTCCTGAGAGATTTTACAAAAACTTTAAAGCTCAATGTTAGTAAACCTTAAACACATATGGCATTTAAATAACAACAGAACCATTTTACGCTATTACATGCTATCAGATTTTGCTAAAGGTATTTGCTCACTAATTTAGATAATTAATTATTTAATCAAGCATGCAGGCCGTTTCTCTGGACATTTGTGAAAGATACAAATGGAAAGATCCCTTTGCAGTCCCACAGCAGGCACACCTGTGGTGTTAAGTGGAGCAGGGATTATGGTTTGTTTGTTTTTCAGGAGTTGGGCTTGGTCCCATATTTCAAGTGAAAGGGACAATAAAGGCTTCCGCTTCCCAAGAGATTTTGGAAAAATCCATGTTTACAATCTGGTGGAAATGGATTAAAGATGGCGCCCCTTCCTTTTTCGACATGACTGTGGACCAGTCTACAAAGAAAGGTCCATAAAACACGATTGAGAGAGTTTCTGTGGATGAGATTGAAATGCCCACACAGAGCCCTAAACCGATATATTTATAACAATAATACAAATAAACTGAATATAAGTTTTGTATTTTGTTTTCTCACAGCTTAACCATTGAAACACAGACAAAACTACAAGCAACACCTAAATGGTTCACCAGAAATGAAGGAAACCTTCCTACACAACTATAGCTGCACCAATATTTATCAGCAAAAAAGCAAAACAAAAAAAAAACCTGTTGGGTGACCTGAAGGGCATTAAATATAATTACCAAATGTCTCTGACGTTATATTCTGGTTTGTTTGTTTTACTCACTGCTGGATCATTGTAGTACTCCTGTTCATTTTGTGATAAAGTAGTTGTTGCGGAGAGTCTAGTTTGTTGCCTTTCGATTTTACTCTCAGACAGCTTCTCATATTAAATACTGTTTATTTAGCAAAAAGAATTTTGGATTACCATGATCTGTCCATGTCAGGAATCCAGTTTTTGTGGGTTGTTTCTGTGTTTCCTTTTTTCCTCCACCAGGTGGTGCCCTGTCCTCATTGGGCCTCCCTGCACACCTGCAGCTTGTTGCCTCATTACCTGTGGGGTGTTCTTAAGCTGCTGACTGTCACTACCTCAACGCCAGAGTGTTTGCCAGTTTCGGGTACTCTCGCCAAGCCGAGTTTTGCTGAATCAAAATGAGTTTTTGTCTACCTGAGTTTTAACATTGTTTTGTCTTTGCCTCTAGGCAGGAAGTCATCCTGCAAACTGGATTTTTCAGACCTTCTCTCTAGTGATGGTGAGATGAAGCCTCATGAGGGATTGAACCGTTTGGCCAAATTGCTTCAACGATCCCCACAGTTCATGAGGCTTCATGTGAACATGTCACCACCTACTGGTGGACAGCAGAAATACAGTTAGTAATAAAATCAGTGATTTTTTTTGCAATTGTTTTTCTTTTTTCCCCTTTTAAGTTCCCTTGAAATTGTTAATGGTTGGTGTGTATAATAAAATCTTTTGTAAGTTTTTTTTTAAGTGTAAAATTTCCTAGAACACTCATTTAAGGTGCACTGTTTTTCTGCCATTTTAGTGAAATAAACTTTTTTTTTTATCAGGTTGGAAGTTGTGTTCAACCAATCTTTTGACTAAACCGACCTAATTTACCCAATCTATATTTTTACTCGGGCAAAACAATGCAAATTAGTCTCATCAGCCAAAATAATTAAGTTTAATCGCAACTTTCAAAAGAGAAAGACCATCAACCTCTAGAGTGAGAGACTGTCTCTTACAGACAACGCCACTCCTGTAGATAGTCTATCCTAGGAGAAAATCCTACTTAATACTAATGTGTTAACACTGACGTGGTTCGGTGGTTTGCTCAAATTTTGATCATTACATTGTTTATTCAAACCAAATTAGCTTTAAGCAGCTACATTGGTTGGAAAAACAACCAATTTATTCTTAGAATCTATCCTAACTTTATCCAGCTGACAGAATCTCTCCTCCAAACTCCCACATCTTGACTGAACATTGAGGCTGTTTAGATGTCTGTCAAAATTCTTGCGCATCCCGAACCACATACCGAAGCGGTCACGTGGTATCACGGTAGCGAGGCCTTGGACGTCATCAATTTTGGCCCCTCCTCTAAATGAATCACGCCTCAACACGCGCTTCGGGGAAACGCCCCCTCCATTACTCGACACACGCCTCGAAGCCTCGGCTCATCTCATAACATCACTACTTCTCTCCCTGGAAGGATCAACCGAGCTACAAACTGAGCTGGGGTTCAAACAGGACGTTTGGATCCACTTTCCCTAAGAGATTGTTTGAGCTTCACACTGAGAAAGGGATTCATCTCCACTACGACCCGTTCAAGTACCGCAGGAAATCTGAGTGGCAGTCAGTTTCTCCGTTCACCTACAAACAACCGCATTCTGGGTAAACCATGTTCCGCCCTCCACCGAAATCAGACAAACACTGGGACTACAGCACACAGACTGGAGTCAAGGATTCAACAACTTCTCTGGGAACGTGAGTCAGCAACCAAATCCTCTTTTCCAAGTTCATGAGTCCAATTACCCACTGAGCCTGAACTAACCGTTGTGTCTTCCCCTCACTTTTCAGTTCCGGTTGAGCAGTGTTCAGAGCAACACTTCTCTCTGAAGGATCTCTTTAATAAAACCTGTTAAACCTTTTCCCTGGTCTCCCTGTTTGGTCTTCTGCATTTGGGTCTGAACCTTAGTAAAACCATGACAGTCCAGCAATAATTCTTCAACTCCATTTCATGATGGGGCAAAAATTTTAATATTCTCCAGGCAATATGGGAATTTTTAGAAAATCTTAATAAAGCATTTATATTGCCTTGCAAAACTATTTGCATGCATTCAGATTTTAATTTAATTTAAACTCTCCAGGCAAAAAGGCTCATTGTTGCCTAGAGAACTAAAATTGAACATTAAAATCTGAATGTGTGCAAATAGTTTTGCAAGGCAATATAAATGCTTTATTAAGATTTTCTAAAAATGCCCATATTTACTTTACAGTATCAAAACACTGCCATGCATTACATCCCATTTTAAGCTAAGTTAACTGTCCAAAAAAGCGCTGCTTCCAAAATTCAGCAAGATTTGGTGTCATCTCCAGTAACAGCCATCTGGCCAAATCACCAGTGAAATCTTGAGGATTAGCAATTTAATTGTAGAGGGTGCTAAGCCATTTTTAAATTAAGCCAAGGCAATGAAGCACTGCAGGCATCAGCAGATTTAATTAAAGACTGGAGGGTTAGGATGCACTGAAATTGCTCGACCTTCCTTCAGCTTGAGCTATTTACACAGCGAGGGGGGTTCTTATGTAACCTATAACTTTGTCATCTGACCGCCGACATTACTATGCTGGGGCTCCAACTCCTGCAGCTTGACAAACATTTTGTGCTACCATATCAGGTATCAGAAGTCTCATGCAGGATCTGGCCTCTTTGTGGCTCTACTTAATACACCCTGTCTTAAATTAGGACAAAGGTGAATATAAATGGCGCAATGTTGAATTTGAAGAACATTTACTTAATAAGGCCACTCAGTTTGTAAAATTCACCTCACACTGGCTCCAGAGGAAACTGATAAGGTAACAACAATTATGCATAACTGTATAGTGCATTTGTACCTTAGTAAGAGGTTACAAGTACAAAAGCTTGTTTGAAGAAAAATAGCTCTTTTTTGGTCTCTTTTTGTCTTCAAAGCCTGGCTGTGGCCCAGAGAAAGTCCAGAGGGATTAGCACATTTACTCCAAACAAGGAACAAGGGTTTCATGTGATTAACTGGGCCACAGCAATAGACCAACTGACCTCCTTAAACCCATTATTCCATCTTTTCTCCGGCTGCCTGGGAAAAACACTACCGGCCCATGAAAGTCAGACTGGGGTCAAGCAATACCTTTTAAGTGCTGCGGGCATTCATTCATAGTTCAGCCTGCTATAAATGGGAGTATTTGTTAGATAGAAGAATACTGAATTTATGTCTCTTTCACTTCTATATGCAAGTCAAGTTACTTTGGAAATTTCCACCATCATGGCCCTGTTTCTCTTTATTATTTGATTTTTCACAGATGTTTGATGCTGAATTAGTTCTACACACTTTCTACTGTTTAAATTGTCTGTGGTTTTACAATATTCATGTGTCAACCATGACTATGGAAGCACAAATTAATAGTACTTTTACAAAATATAGAAAGTTCAGCTGGTAAAATGTATATTAGCTGACGTTAGAATAGTATGCCCATTAGATTCAGACAGGGTTGTCAGAGGGGGTCTGGTCCGGGGATCTTTTCCCTGGTTTTTGCAGATGACATGGTTCTGCTGGCTCCCTCCTGCCAAGAACTACAGCATGCACTAGGGTGGTTCACAGCCAAACCCGAGGCCATAGTTCTGGTGGCTTGTCCCCTTCATGTTGGTTGAGTTCCTGCCTCAAATGAAGGAATTCAAATGTAAGAGGAGATTGCAACTGCTGCTAACGCAGATGTTTCACCAGTCTATTGTGGTGAAAAAAGAGCTGTGTGAAAAGGCAAAGCTCTCAACTTACCGTTCGGTAGGGCTGCAACTAACGATTATTTTAAAAATCGATGAATCGGCCGATTATTTTTTCGATGAATCGATGAATCGGACAGAAAATATTTTTAATATTAACCTCTTTATTCCAAAATAAACATTTTAGACAGAACAAACAAGCACACAAGTAGAGGTTGCTCATTAACTGTACTCGTGCAATATGAAAAATAAATGTTTGTGTTAAAACTACGCAAACTTACATGAGAA